CTCCTTGGAAGGGAGAGCAATCACAATGAATTGTTTGTCTTGGCCTACAGCAGTTCCCTGTTATTTTTAATTGCATCCCATAGATGACCTGTTCTATGGCATACTTTCAGAATTTTCTGAATATACCATCACTAATTAGGGGTGGGTTTTTTTTCAGTGCAGTCACTCTGTGTGCTTATCTAGATAAAGTATTAACAACCATCTTCATGTTACCAAAACTGAATCAAAACCTGTCTCCTTACCTTGCTCACTCACTCTCACTCATACACACCAACATCTCCACATTTCTGATGTCCCTCTGCATCCTTTCCCACTGCCTGAGGTGAGAGAGGAACTGCTTCTTCCTCACCCCTTGCCACCCTCTGTTCCCACTACAACTGTGTGGAAGCATTTATGCAGGAAGGGAGGCAAGGGAGAAGAGGACAACGAGGGCAGTGGCACTTTGTTTTGGCTGTCTGGTCACCTCAAAAACACAGCTGCTGTGGAGGAGGTGTTTCCTTCAGGCTTTGGCAAATATATGGCCAGGAGCAGCCATGCTGCAAAGGTGCCAGAGAGGAATTCTGAAGGACTCTCTGCTGCCACCTCTATCGTTATCCATTCCCTCACCCTTCCTTCCTTCCTTCCTTCCTTCCTTCCTTCCTTCCTTCCTTCCTTCCTTCCTTCCTTCTTGCCACCCTCTGTTCCCACTACAACTGTGTGGAAGCATTTATGCAGGAAGGGAGGCAAGGGAGAAGAGGACAACGAGGGCAGTGGCACTTTGTTTTGGCTGTCTGGTCACCTCAAAAACACAGCTGCTGTGGAGGAGGTGTTTCCTTCAGGCTTTGGCAAATATATGGCCAGGAGCAGCCATGCTGCAAAGGTGCCAGAGAGGAATTCTGAAGGACTCTCTGCTGCCACCTCTATCGTTATCCATTCCCTCACCCTTCCTTCCTTCCTTCCTTCCTTTGTAAGTGCTTCTTCTGACGGCATAGGGCACGGACAATGGGAGACATAGTGGAGGTACCTGATCTATTCTGTCACCTCAAGTCACCACCTCACTCTTGCTCTCAGCGAGGCCAGCCTTGCCATAGAGGACTGTCCAGGCATATTTATTATTGTAAAACCTTATTTCACAAAACTGCTAACGATTTCCAGGAATCCAAGGCAAAGGAAAGTTTCTGTATAACTGGCTACAGAAACTTATCAGTAAAATTTACTGTGAATGTGGAGGAAGCCATTGGCATCTTATAGGTCAATGAACTGTAAGAAATAAATAGACTGACTCGTGTCCACTGAAAGATTTCTAGATTTGTCTACTTAAGTAACAATGATCACTATTTGAGCAAAGTTCCCATTGACTCTTCTTTCCATTGTGTGTTTTGCATTAAAGTCATCAGCATCACCATTACCACCACCATCGTCACCTCATAACTGCAGAGTTGGACCTTGTGGATCATCTAGCCAAGCCCCTGTTGAAGAGGCATAGTCAGTGCAAGTTTTGCTGTGGTTATGTCAATATGGTAAGTCTTGCTCTTCTACATGGGTTGAGTCCATAGTAGTTCTTGATCCACACAGTGCTCTAGCCAGTATATGTTATTGGCTGACTAGCTCAAGAATGGGAGAAAAGAGGCATAACTATTATTTTTAACTGTTATTATTTCTTGGGCATTGCTGATATTGCATAACTTACTCAAGGAGCAAGGGGCTCTAGCCTAACTAGGGTGAACTCCAGGAGATTATGTGACTTCCAGCTTTGCTATGGCTGCTCCAAATAGTAATTCCAGCTCAGGTTACAAGAGGCAAGGCCAGTCATTGCCTGAGCTGTGTGTGCCCTGCATGTGTCCCTAAGTTAGCCTCAAACAGTGTCAGCCTGTGCCCATGAATCACATGATTCAAGGGACCCAAATGGGGCTCATAATTGCCAAACAGTATCCTGTGGAACTCACCACTACCACTTAGACTTCCACCACTACCCCACAACATGTGACCTATTTAAATTGACACTGCCCTCAGATAAGCTCAAATGTCTCATGGCCGATCAGAATGGGACAGGCTAACTGGGCCAGATAAACAATTCCTGTCTCTTTTATCTATTTGCCTGATATCGGTGCATAGCAATACATTTGGTGCCTGTTTCCAGGCCATCAACAGCAAGTACTTCAGTTCTTTCTATACTTCTGGAAGAACTGATTAAAGTAGTTCTTCAGAGAAATCTGGACTGCGCAATTCTTTCCCCACACTTGTTACGATGCAGTAAATGTGATGTTCAAGTGTTCAGAGTTGAGAAGAGCAAAAAATAAGAACATTCTGTCAATATAATCAGCAAAAAAGTGTTATATGAGTTATATCCCCAGATGCAAAATTTACCTTCCTACATATGCATGCATTAGCACTGAAGTCTGTGGGTGAAACATTTTTTTGTGTCCCGCTGGTGGCAGCACTATACCATGAGGAGAAATGAGAGAATACCTCTTCTACTGTGGCACCCTGATTGTGCAGCACTCTCCATTTGGAATACTGACTGGCACCGATGGTGGATTCATATATGTGCAAAGTTAAAGCATGGCTCCTCAGCAAAACTTTCAGACTAGTAACTTGTTTATGGCCAATGCACTACAGAACAATCTGTTCTGCACACGCAGTTCCCCCTTCCTGACTGCTCATGCAAAGGAAAAACAAGCCACGCCTTGCATGAGCAGAAATCCGTGTGGTCTTCAAAAAACAATCTTTGGCTTAGTTAGCCGCAAGTTAGAGATTACTGGAGCAAATGTGGAGAGCTTTGGCTAGAGATTCCTTGCATGCTATATTTCGAACCAGATTCTAGATTTGCACTTTACAGATCTTGGCTTGAAAAGCTTGCAGCTTTCTGAATATTTGGCTTTAAATGCTTTTTTAAAATTGTGTTAAACTGTTCAGATTGCTTCCTATTTGGTGAAATACAGTGGGACATAAATATCCTGGTAGCTAGCTAAGTATATGCAAGTTTTGTGGCATTCATTTTAACAGAATCCAGTATAAATGGATTCTTCACACCATGAGAGCTGCTAAAAGGTTGGAAAGACAAACATATTACATGTATCACTCTATGAGCTGAAGGTTTGAAAATGTGTTTCGTGGACATGTGGACACTTTTCAGACATAATAGAATGTTTACCTTAATCTATATAATTGTTTATAATTCTTTGATCCTAATCGCTGGCATGGTGGATTGGTTTACTTCCTTTTCAACTCCCCCCCCCCCCCCCCGCTTTCTCTTTTGAAATAGTTCAGTCTTCAGAACTAGTTCTCCATGCATCTAAAATACCCATAAGCAGTCAGCATGAGCACTGTTTGCAGGCAAAAATGCACTGACAAATCAGTAAGGGGTATTTTACAGTGACTACGAAGTTCAGCAAGAAGCAACTACCTAACAAATCTTACATATCTTGCATCATAGGGTGACAAAGATGGTTAGTGATTTGAACTAGGGAAAGTGAAATACAAGGGAATACATTAGACTTCACTGCTGGTGAGCCCTGCAATAAAGCCCAGTGCTTGGATAATCCAACTGGTGAGGTTCCATAGCTCAGACTAAGGTCACCACGTGGTATACGTCTATCCCCTTGCACCCACTCCACCAGCCATTTGGTAGAGCTCCAGGGCACAGATCAAAGCTTGTATTGCTAGAATATCTTTTTTTCTTTCCTTGTTCAACATAATTTACTAAGATTTACTAAATTATTATAACACTGTTGGGATTGTGTATGTGTGTGAATGTGGAAGAATAATTGTACAGGCTCTCAGTGGATAGGTCACACCATTAAAACAATGTATAAGCCTCTCATCAAGTCATAGCCATTTGTCCCCCTTCCTCTTCACAGGAAAACTTAATTTATTTTTAATAAAAGTCAGAAATTTCATAGACTTGGGAATGGAATGGACAGAATGTCTCTTCAAGGGTACAAAGTGAGCTACCCCAGTATGTCTGACTTTATTTTGGATACAGAGCGCGTTTGTGGGCAAGGGGGGCTTCAGCAAGTAAGCAGTTGACTATACAATTTGAAATCGCCTATTTTCAATTTCATATCCTATAAAACGGTAGTAGTTACTAATTGCCGATTGGTAATCTCTGGTGGCTTTTCCTTGGCTACTAACAGACTCCAAATCAGTAGGCTACCCATTCTGGAAGCTACCTCGTCATTACACAGAAAGAAACTGTGCTATGTGGGTCATATACCACTTGTTGTCTCCCTCTTCTATTGCTCTTTAAAATTTTATAGATTTATTTAATTAGTTTCCAAATGTATTCTCGAAGGCTTTCACGGCCGGGATCTGATGGTTGTTATGGGTTTTTCCGGCTCTTTGGCCGTGTTCTGAAGGTTGTTCTTCCTGACATTTCGCCAGTCTCTGTGGCCGGCATCTTCAGAGGACTGGAATAGGTTTTAAAATGGTTTATTTTAGTGCCATATTATTATGTTTGTTAAACTGTACTCTCTTATGCTAAGAGTCATACTGGGCAGCCTGTGATATTAGAAGACATGGAGTGTCATTATTCTAATTATTAGAGAATAGTAGTCAACTTGATTCCCAATGTGCTGTAGTGGACAGAGTGATGGACTAGGACTCTGGAGAACAGGGTTCAAATCTCCACTTGGCCATGGAAACTGACTGGGTGAGTGGAACTGGTAAGACCACTCCTTAAATATCTCACTTATCTTTAAAGCCCTATTAGGGTTGCTATATGTCGGTTATGACTTAATGGCACAGAAAATACAACAGTCTACTTGATACACTTCAAGAGAAGAGCTGGGATGCCAACTAAAAAAAAAGCATTGTTCCAATAAATAAAGAAAATTTAACCAAAATCTTTTATTGATACATTCTTGGACAATATCACAGGATTGAGAGTATGGAAAGAGGGGACTTCTGCGGCAAAGATCATTTTCACTAAATTGGCACATAAGCAGCAAGATCAACGAAAGTACTTATTACAAACAGTATAAAACATACATGCTTTTTTTTCCTTAAAATTCTTTTTTTTTATCACACCAGTCAGTCAATAGTGGGGCATCAACAAATTTAAATTAAAAAAAAACTTTTTCAAGACATGTAAAAGCCATTTTCTTTCCTCCAAATACCATAAGAATTATTGAAATTATTGCAAAATAGTTAATATACCTTGGTGAAAGGAAACAAAATAGAAACACAAATACAAATATCCAACATAAATCATTAACATGTACGGTAAAATACATTACTAGCATGCATTCCAAATAGCAAGACGACCTCTATAAAAATTCAGCAATCCGTTTTGCTTTCCCTGTGGCCATCAGAAATTTTGAAAGGCAGAGGATGGAGGTGGAGAGAAGGATGGAGACAGAGTGGCGGACTTGCTTGTCAGCACAGTTTTTGGTCTTCAGTTATCTTTTTTTTTCTCCCTTTTGTTTTCATTAAAAAAATAACATATATGAATCGCCGTGGTACAGTAATGATCATACAAGTCATGTACATGAATTATTTTAGACCTCAGGGATATTTTTTTTTGTAATGTGCTAAAGTTAGAAAGAACAGGGCTTGCATGATGCTGTGCATTCAAAACCAATGGCAAACCTCAGGAACAACATAGATGGCAATATGCAAAAAAAAAGGAAAAAAAAGAAAAATCCCTCACAAACTGTACAGAAAGTTCAAAAAACTTGCAGTTTGGAAGTACATATAAAGACAAAATAGCCCCTTGAAAGTCGCCATTGCCCATTGCAGTTCACCCAGGAGAAACTGGGTCTAACTCACATGTCGGAGCTCATAGATCGTACCTTCCGTACAAAGAAAAAAGGTCCAGCATCACAGCCTAATGGCAGTGCCAGTGACTTATTAAGCCAAGAATAAGTTAAGGAAATTGTCATAGAGCAGCTATTCAGAATACTTGAATCCTCCAGAAGAACTGCCTGGCCTTTCATCGCTTCTAGCAGTACATATGCTGCAGACCCTGGGACAGGCCAACACGAGGTTAGGTGACAGAATGGATGAAAAATCTCCATCCTCCTGGGACTCCGTCTGATGCAGCGGACTAGATAACCAGGTTGTTATAACTGACATATTTCTTTTTTGCAGCAGGGCCTGAAAGAAAGTAGGAAAAGAAAAGCAGTCACCAAGACAAGAATCTCTTGGCAAGCAGGCAGTGGCTTCTTATAGTCAATTGTGATTCATCAGCGTTGGATGGAATTTTGGCCCGTGAACATTTTTGGCTAGTCCATCTTGCCACACCTCCCATGTCATTTCCGTCATCATCAATATCCCCCCCTCCCTTTTAACAAAATGTTTAAAACCTTTTAAATAAGTTTTTATGTTGATATCAAAATAATTGATATTGTTTGTTTTGATTTCAAGTCTCACATGATCTTTCAACATTTTCTCCTCCAATGTTTATGGTGTACAGAGGTCCCATGGTGCTGCGCACAGCTTTGCACCCCACTTGTATGTGATCAAAGTACAACAGACAGGCTCCTTAAACAGGCGTAATACTGTGTGGAAAAATAGATTTGTGAATTCCTGAAATGGGTTTGGGATTTTTGAACTCCCTATGTAATGCTACAGGCATACAGTTAGAAGTGACTGTCCTTAAGTTCAATGACTTCCACATATGGGAATATAGTTAGAGCCCGAGTAGTCCATTAGCTGCCCCAGTGACAAATCCAGTTTATCCATAATACAACCCAAATAAGATACTCATAAATCACAGCCTTGGAAGCATCAGCCTTGGCAACATCCAAAACTACAATCTTGGAACTGCAGAACTGAAACAACAACAATCTTGGAACTGCAGACCCTGTAAATTATCAAGACAGAAGTGGGGAATCAAATTCTCAACCTCTGCTTTGCAGCCAGACATCTAAACCACTGAGAAGTAACTTACAAGCTTTCTTTGGCTTCTTGTTCTTTTGTTAGAAGTAATTGTACTGCTATTTCAAATCCAACAAATGTCTGATTAGATCAACCTAAGTACCTTCTGGCAGCATAATATAAACCTTCTAGCATATATTAGTTTATGTTTGTATTTGTGTTCATAATTGATTTAATATTCATTAAAATACTTGAATCACATTAAAGCTATTTCACATACATATATTTTGACTTCATGCTATTCACAGATCAAATGCATATAATAATTTACAGAACTTTGCTATTCTGAACCCACCTGCCCTGCTGGTTATGTCTGTTATCTTCTAGTTACATAAGCCACACTGACATATACCAGGCTGCACTCATCATTCCAGAACAGAATGTAGAACAAATGGAAATTATCAACATTTTGCAGTTTAGCAAACAATGCAATGGCACTCACAGACAAAAACATTGCATGTTCATACTTTGGAACTGCCTTTACTGTGTTATTTAAATATGGAATATAATTTATTCTGCTTACTAGAAATATTTAATATGGGATTTACTTTTAATTCTCCCCTTTAGGATGCTGTATAACTCTAATGACAGCTGGCATTATTTATTTATTTAATTTATTTAAAATATTTTTATCCTGCCTTTCTCCTTAAAAAGAACCCAAAGCACCTTACATTAAAAAGGCATATCAATAAAAAACCAATGAAACAAAATGAAGTCAAAAACATGTGACACCTTAAAGACTAACTATTACTCCATGGCAGCACCATGTGGGGCATTAAAGGCTCCCCCACCCCCATCCTGAAGTTTCTGAAGAATTTCCCAGATCCAAAGGATCTTCAGGGATCCTTGGAAGCTGGTTTGTGTGTGTGTGTGTGTGTGTGTGTGTGTGTGTGTGTGTGTGTGTGTCTGTCTGTCTGTCTGTCTGTCTGTCTGTCTGTCTGTGTGTGTGATAGAAACAACCAAGAAATGCTTCCTGTTAATAATATAAGCAGGTTTCATGGCTGTAAATATATGCAAGAGGATTTGGGCCATTGGCTGAAAAGTGATTAAGGATTTGAATATATTTATTCAAACCAATTGACTGAGAATGAGTAGTCAAATGTGTCTCTACAGAGGTGTGCATTTTGTTTACTTTTGTGGAGTGCAGAAGACTTTCTATGCTTAAGAGAAAAGAGGAAAGCCCAACCTAGGAAACGTTTCATGTACGCATATTCTAATCTGGATAAGAACAGTTCTTCTGAACGAATGCTACAAGTTCCCTCTTCACCAGTTAGGGCTACAATGTATATTACTCATTCAACAAAGCTGAAGCCCTACCAGTTAGCTGTCCAAGAACCAAGAGTAAGGTCTCTTTTAGTTTTCCGACCAAACAGGTAACTAAAAGGATCTCACTTTTTCAGAAAAGACTATAAAATCATAGTCAGGGGTGGCCCATCTATTAGCATATATGACTACACCCTTTTTGTAGTTTTAGAAACTTTCCTTATTTATAGGTTAGATGGCAGTGGGAGGAGATGATAGGATAGGAAATCTTGCATGCTAGTCAAAGCCACTGGACCATAATCTCTGGCCACTCATCACCACACAGACTGTAGTTAGGACTGGAATGTAAGGCAGCAAAAAAAGTGCAATGCAGGAGTTGTCTTTTTCTATATGGAAGGACTTACACCCACTTTGATTTTGATTTTCTTTGACACCCGCTATAACACACATTATTTAACACAACTCCCTGCAGTTTAAAGATGCAGTTTGTCGCACCGTTTGAGAAATACAATTCAAAAGCCTCCCTGGATATAAAAAAAAACCAAACAAACACAAAAGTCTTGGGATTCTTTCTGGAAAGTTTAAAAAACTGAAATGACTTTCCCCCTATTTCTTCAGGCAGACTTCATGAAAGAGGGACCTAATCTGCCCCACCAGGTAGCAGGGATGGGGGCCCCAAGCCATGGAGATCGCTGTTGAGTCGGACTTAAGTTGCACTGGCGACTCAAATCAGACTCAACTTGAGGTTGTTGTTTTTAAATGACTTGGACTCAACTTGCAACATGGAACCCATCCACCTGTTTCTTATGGAGAGAAAAAAGCTTGGTTTTAATAGGGACTTGGACTTGGGACTTGGTACCAAAAACACAGACTTGGGACTTGGACCCAAAGATTCGCCAATATCCCTGCCAAGTAGCAAAGAAGTAGCAAGGCAGGCCTGTAGGCTGCAACCAGCAAAAGGCTACTGTTATCCCTGGCAGATAGCTGACCAGCTGAGAACAGTTTATAAACCTACAAAGTACGAACAGTTTGATTCAGTTTATTAATAAGATTTGCTGATGCTAATCTAGATACGTTAAAGCAATGCCATTTACAAAGCATAAGAAAGAGTTCCTTTCAACCAGAACTACTGCTTAATGGCTCCACTGAAATAAGGAGTTATTATTATATCAAAAGCAAAGACATGTTCTTTGGCGCAAGTGTGATTCATTCATTGTGTTGGTGTAGGGCCAGCTGCAAGAGGATTATGCCTGTTGCTTGTGGGGGGGGGAAGCAGGATCAGCTGTAACTTTCTGAGCATCTGCTGCTGCAAACTGCGATAAATCTAATCAGATAAGAGCACCTGGTAAACAAGAGCCTTGAAAGTAATAATACCAGTTGTAGTAGATGTCATCAAATGAGCACAGATGGAACAGGCAAACATGAATTACACACTGGCTTGTGTTTTGGAGCTTTCCAGTGACAAATATGAAACAAGATCTCTCTTTTCTTAGCTCTGATATTTCTTCTACCATTCGCTCCCCCCCCCTTTTCATCTCTGTACTTGAGGTTGTTGGTTATATCATTCACTTTGTCACTTTAGAGCAACTATACTTGAGCCATTTGAACGTACAGTCTTATTGATGCCTTCATGAATCTCCTCCTCATAAAAAAGCACATACAGCAGGATCACTCAGTTAATTTTTAAATTATTCTGTATTTCCTTTAATTCGAAGTGCAATATTCCAACAGGATAATAATTGCAATTTTCCATAGACTTCAGGATATATTTTCACTGACGCAACACTATTTTGGGACCTCTGATGGACCAAGATATAATATATTTGGAGCATTGCATTCTTGTTAGTAATGTAAGTTGTTGTTCAGTTGTTAAGTCATGTCCGACTCTTCGTGACCCCATGGACCAGAGCACGCCAGGCCCTCCTGTCTTCCACTGCCTCCCGGAGTTGGGTCAAATTCATGTTGGTAGCTTCGATGACACTGTCCAACCACCTGGTCCTCTATTGTCCCCTTCTCCTCTTGCCCTCACACTTTCTCAGCATCAGGGTCTTTTCCAGGGAGTCTTCTCTTCTCAAAGTATTGGAGCCTCAGCTTCAGAATCTGTCCTTCCAGTGTAAGTTAGCATGCTTTTGTTTTCCAGTTGTTCACTGGGAGGTCTCATCCAATCAATTTGCAAATCTGATTTTTCAGACACACCTCTTTGGGGAAACTGTATTGCTCAAGAGAACATGTTTTATCAGCGTTGACTTCCAGACCTTGCAAAGGGGGAGTCTCATCTAATTTGTCTCTAAATGCAACATGACACTAGCTCAAAGCCTACCTAACTCTAACAGTTTGACTGTGAGCTTAGATCTGACTGGAGAGTTCAGCCCGCTGGAAGATGATCAGTCTCTTAAGAAGTATGGCATGAAACTAACCAATGGAGTACTGTTTATGGAGCTCAAGCTCAACAAACAAGCTCAAGTCATGCCACATGGAACTTCTTTCTAAATCTAATTAAATATTTAACAACATGGAAAAATTTAAAACACAATCCTCAAAATTACACAAATTCAGTCTCAACTTCTGCTTGCATATTTTGAATGGGAAAAGTTTTTTTTCCCCACTTTTTTATCAATCAATTTTGCTTCTGCCATAATGTTAAGCTGTGGGGTGTGTGCTAGTCATTGTGTGTGAGTGTACAGGTTGAAAAGTTCAGGTCTCTAGTATTCATTTCCCCCAAAAAATGAAGTGTTGCTTTTTTGCTCTCTCATCCATACAATGAGGATAACTTCTTTGGGTTCTGAACTAGGAACACAAAAGGAGCCATCCTGGGTCTGATCATCTGTTAAATATTTGTCCATACAGTGGCCATCTAGTTGCTTATGGGAAGCAGCTACCAAGTTATAAGTGTAACTGAACTCATATTTCTCAGCAATGGATATAAAGTAGTACTCTCTCATTGATACTAGAGA